ACGGGGCGGCTGGGCCCGTGAGCCATGGCCGCTGAGCCTGCGCGTCCGGAGCCTGTGCTCCGCAGCGGGAGAGGCCACAACAGTGAGAGGCCCGCGTACCGCAAAAAAAAAAAAAAAAAAGACTCCTGTCATTCGTGTGGGAATGTGTACTTTAAAATGTACTTAAGCCCTACTTTAGGAAGTATTGAATCTGTAGCATGCATGCTATTCTAGGGCATTAGATAATTGACTTTCTGGGTGATAGTTTAGGGTTCTCAGAGGTGTAATTTATTTTTCATATTTTGTGATTTGTGAAATTGCTACCTACTAATTTTCCATGGTTCCTAGACAAAATGGCATTTATAGAGAAGGAAGTAGCGTGGCAGTGTAGAAAGAGAAAGGGCTTTGAAACCACACAAACCTGGGTTCAAATGCCAACTCCGGCCACACTTACTTGCTTCATCACTGCGGACAGAGCCCTCCATCTTTGGAGTCCTCAGTTTTTGTGAGGTGCTAAGAGGTGTGTGGCCTTGGGGGAAGGGCAGCCACAGTCTCTCCTGCCCTGCTCCATGAATAGTCCACCTGAGGAAAATCGTGCTTTGTTTGTACATCAAGGTTCTCACCACCTCAGACACACATACAACCTAGTAAACAGGGATTTATGTCTCTTTAAGAAGGATTGGAACCAAGTCCTTACTTGCCCTCTACTCCCTTCTGTTTTGCCACGTGTGAGCCCCTTGTGTGTAGAAATCCTGGTGCTATTACTGCTCGCTTTCCTCATCTGTAACGTGCCTACCTTTTGGGTATTTTGTGAGGATTGGCGATGATGTATGTAAAGCCCTTAGAACAGTCGCTAACACATGGCAAGCATTTAATCAATGATACTGTTACTGTATTTTGTGATTTCGTTATTAGATACTTGACTTTATAATCATTGGGGGAACCCAGAGTTCCTGTTTGTGGACTTAAAATGCTCTGTTAGCTCGATATGCTGTACCCCATTGCCTCAGTGGTCCTCAAATTCTGTAATTCCAATCCTGCCTGTTGAATAGTTACTGTTCCCACCTATTCCTCTTTCTTATTACTGTAAAATGAAACTACTTCAATAGGATTAGTGAGGGAAATGGTAGTGCTTTTAATGAAATATCAATGAAGCGATAGCTAGGTTTTACAAACCAGGATGAGTGATGACTTAAGATGGCATGTTCTGATGTCAGTATTATTACCAAAACCTGATGGGACTGTACTTTGAGAGTTGCTATGCCTGTTAGGGTAAGAAAAGAGTAGAAGATGAAAGTAATCTATGAGTGTGGAAACCATTTTTAGCATTTATATAAAGTCTAGACACCACCTACAGACTCTTAGAATTAAGAAAGACAAATAACTCTTTATGTGTAAACAAAATTAAAAAAAATATAGCACCTAACTCACCTGCAGAAGGGTAGTGTGGGGTAGTGGAAAGAGCCCCAGATAGAGAAAGTAGAAGCCACTGTCCTCATTTCTCATCTTCCACTTAATCAGTGGTGAGACTTGGGTTCCTCTCTAAGCCCCAAGTCTCCGCTTGTAAATGGAGGGAGTTGGTGGTGGTCTCTCACATCCTTCCAGCTCTGAAAAATACCAGCTCTTTCGTCAACACAGTGTAAGAAATTTAGAATGCATTCTGCCATTCTTTTTTTTTTCTTTTCTATTATTATTATTATTTTTGGCCACGCTGCATGGCATGCAGGATCTTAGTTCCCTGACCAGGGATCGAACCCGTGCCCCCTGCAGTGGAAGCATGGTGTCTTAACCACTGGACCACCAGGGAAGTCTCTGGATTCTGCCATTCTTAAAGTTTACAGAACACTGTCCAGAGTAGTTGCTTCTGCTCTGTAAGTGGTTTCTTCCATGTGTTTCTTTCTCATGGGGTCACATCTGATGGAAAAATGAGAACCGGGACTGTTAGTTCCTTAGGCTTTGGCACATTTTGCCGTGCATCATCTCAAGTGTCAGGCTTCTGTCTTTGAGGCAGTATTTTTACCACATTATGCTCATGTTTTGTCTCTGATTCTGTTGCCATGCATCCATTTAAAAGATTTCTTAGAATTTCTAGCTCTCCAAGTAATTTTGGGTTAATTTTTTTTTTTTTTTTTACTCAAACTTAAACTGTATTTTATACTCTTTATATTCACACATCTTCCTTTTCAAAACCATCTCTTTGGGGGATAGTTCAAATGTGAGAGGAAATCTTAACAGGTGAAGACATCATTTTAATTAATTCCAAGTAATGTTTATTGAGTGATTTAGAGCCATGTTTTTACATTTTGATGATTAAAAAAAGACAGGACCCTGCTCTGTCAACA